TACAGGTGAAGGTAGGCGATCCGGACGAGTACCACTCCTATCATTATCAGTTAGCTATGGCTTTTCCCTCTCCCTCTGCTCTGTCCTGCTCAGTGTGTCAGATGTTTAGTCATTCCTCTGCCTCCTTTATTGATAATGGTACATGTATTAAGTGTAGTTTTTTTACTGTGCTGGTAAGTTAGAGGAATGGCACCGCACCACAGAGATGTCTTTAGCCGCTATAGTTAGCCAGCCCCCAGTAGCCGGTGCGGGCCGACCGAAGGTAGCTTCTGCTAGCCGTCCTTCGGTAGTTCCCCCGGTAGATCCCGAGCAGCCTGGATGACAGGGAGGCTGGGTGACTGAACGGAGGAAGACTAAACCACAGAAGCCCACAGTTCACCACTAACCCATTCACGTTTCTGATAAATTTTCCCCACTCAACGACACACCCGCTGAGGAACCAACTTTGATTATTGGCAGCTCGATAGTCAGAAACGTGAAGTTAGCGAAGCCAGCGGCCATAGTTAAATGTATCCCTGGGGCCAGAGCGGGCGACATCGAATCCTATTTAAAACTGCTGGCTAAAGATAATCGTAAATATGGTAAGATTGTTATCCACGTCTGCGGTAATGATACCTGTTTACGCCAATCGGAGGTCACTAAAATGAATGTGGACTCGGTGTGTAACTATGCTAAAACTATGTCGGACTCCGTAGTTTTCTCTGGACCCCTGCCCAATGTGATCAGTGATGACATGTATAGCCGCATGTCGTCATTCCACCGCTGGCTGTCGAGGTGGTGTCCAGCAAACGATGTGGGCTTCATTGATAACTGGAAGCCTTTTTGGGGAAAACCTGGTCTGATTAGGAGAGACGGCATCTATCCCACTTTGGATGGAGCGGCTCTCTTATCTAGAAATATGGCAACGTTTATTTCTAAAACCTGACAGTCCAGAGTTTGGACCAGGAAGCAGAGCTGCTGTCTTACACGCTTTCTTTAGAACAGTCACCCACTCAAAACCCCATAGAGACTGTGTCTGTCCCCCGACCACCTAAATTATTTAAAGAAATACAAACAAGAGGAGTTAAACATAAAAACCTAATAAAAATTAAAACCAACTCCTCAGTAGCACAAAATAAGAGAATGAAATGTGGACTGTTAAATATCAGGTCTCTGTCCTCTAAAGCTGTTTTAGTGAATTAATTAATATCAGATTATGATATTGATTTACTTTGTCTTACTGAGACCTGGTTGTCCCACGAGGAGTATGTTAGCCTAAATGAATCCACCCCCCCCAGTCATATTAATACTCACATTCCTCGAGGCACCGGCCGAGGAGATGGAGTAGCAGCCATATATGATTCGAGCGTTTTAATGGACCCTAAACCAAAACTAAATTATAATTCATTTGAAAGCCTTGTTCTTAGTCTTTCTCACCCAAACTGGGAAACATTGCAGCCAGTTCTATTTGTTATAGTGTACCGTGCTCCTGGCCCTTACTCTGATTTTATATCTGAATTCTCAGAGTTTTTATCAAGTTTAGTCCTTAAATCAGATAAAGTAATTATTGTGGGTGATTTTAATATTCATGTGGATGTTAACAATGACAGCCTTAGTAATGCATTTATCTCATTAATAGACTCAATTGGCTTCTGTCAGAGTGTAAATAAACCAACTCATTGTTTTAATCACATCTTGACCGTGTTCTATCATATGGCATTGATATTGAACATTTAATAGTCTTCCCACATAATCCTTTCCTATCTGACCATTATTTAATAACTTTTGAATTCATACTATTAGATTATAAGCCATTAGGCAAGACTTCCTACAGCAGATGTCTATCTGACAGTGCTGTAGCTAAATTTAAGGAGGAGATTCCTTCAGTGTTTAATTCAATGCCATGTCTGAATTTAACAGAGTCCTATAACAACTTTAGTCCCTGAAATTGATAATCTTGTCGATAGTGCTACAGGCTCACTACGATCAACATTAGACTCTATCGCTCCTATAAAAAGGAAATTATTAAAACATAGGAGACTAGCACCTTGGTATAACCACCAAACCCGCCAGTTAAAGCAAATAGCTAGGAAATCTGAAAGGAAATGGCGCTCTTCCAAATTATCAGAATATCGCTCAAATTGGCAAGATGATCTTAAGATTTATAGAAAGGCCCTCCGTAATGCCAGAGGAGCCTATTACTCAGCACTAATAGAAGAAAATAAGAACAACCCTAGGTTCCTCTTCAGCACTGTAGCCAGGCTGACAGAGAGTCACAGCTCTATCGAGCCACATATCCCCATAAACTTAAGTAGCAATGACTTCATGAGCTTCTTCTATAATAAAATTATTACTATTAGAGAAAAAATTAATCACCAACTGCCATCAACAGTTATCAGTGGCTCTCCAAGTTCAGGGACTTCTGTCAATGTAAACTTAGATGTATATTTAGACTGTTTTTCTGCTATCGATCTTCATCAGTTAACTTCAATCATTTCTTCATCGAAGCCATCAACCTGTCTGTTAGACCCGATCCCAACTAGGCTGCTTAAAGAAGTTGTTCCCTTAATTGGCACTTCTTTACTGGATATGATTAATCTTTCTTTATTATCAGGATATGTACCACAGTCCTTTAAAGTAGCTGTAATTAAACCCCTTCTTAAAAAGTCTACTCTTGACCCAGGGGTTTTAGCCAACTATAGACCGATTTCTAACCTCCCGTTCCTCTCTAAGATTCTGGAGAAAGTAGTCGCCAAAGAGTTGTGTGACTTTCTACATAACAATAGTTTATTTGAGGATTTTCAGTCAGGATTTAGAGTTCATCATAGCACAGAGACAGCTCTGGTTAAAGTTAATAATGACCTTCTGACTGCTTCTGACAATGGACTTGTCTCTGTACTTGTATTATTAGATCTTAGTGCTGCATTTGACACCATTGACCATGATATTCTTTTACAGAGACTTGAGCATCAAATTGGCATTAAAGGAACTGCCCTAACCTGGTTTAAGTCATACTTATCAGATCGTACTCAGTTTGTACATGTTAACGATGAATCCTCCATAAATACTAAAGTTAGTCATGGAGTTCCACAAGGTTCTGTACTTGGACCAATACTATTTACTTTATATATGCTCCCTTTAGGCAACATTATTAGGAATCACTCCATTAACTTTCACTGTTATGCAGATGATACGCAGTTATATCTATCAATCAAACCCAATGAAATTAATCAATTATCTAAATTACAAACATGTCTTAAGGACATAAAATCCTGGATGACCTGCAATTTTCTGATGTTAAACTCAGAAAAAACCGAAATTCTTGTTCTTGGCCCCAAAAACCTTAGAGACTCATTGTCTAAAGATATAGTCACTCTAGATGGCATTAACTTGGCCTCTAGCACCACTGTCAGGAATCTTGGAGTTCTCTTTGATCAGGATTTGTCATTTAACTCCCACATAAAGCAGACCTCTAGGACTGCCTTCTTTCATTTACGTAATATTAGAAAAATTAGACACATACTATCACAGACAGATGCAGAAAAACTAATCCATGCATTTGTTACTTCAAGGCTGGATTACTGCAACTCTTTATTATCAGGTTGCCCCAATAAGTCCATTAAAACGCTCCAATTAATTCAGAACGCTGCAGCACGAGTACTGACAGGAACTAGAAAAAGAGATCACATCTCTCCTGTACTAGCTACTCTGCATTGGCTCCCTATAAAATGTAGAATTGAATTTAAAATACTCCTCCTCACCTATAAAGCTCTTCATGGTCAGGCCCCTTCATATCTTAAAGAGCTCATAGTACCCTATTACCCCACTAGAACACTACGTTCTCTGAATGCTGGGCTACTTGTGGTTCCTATAGTCTCTAAAAGTAGAACAGGAGCCAGAGCCTTCAGTTACCAAGCTCCTCTCCTGTGGAACCGGCTTCCAGTTGTGGTTCGGGAGGCAGACACCCTCACCACTTTCAAGAGTAGGCTTAAGACATTCCTCTTTGATAAAGCTTATAGTTAGGGCTGGATCAGGTGAGTCCTGAACCATCCCTTAGTTATGCTGCTATAGGCCTAGACTATCGGGGGATTTCCCATGGTGCACTGAGCTACTCTCTTCCTCTCTCTTTCTGCACTCATTCATGTCCCTTTAATGCATGTTACTAACTCCACTTCTTCCCCGGAGTTCTTGTGCTTTCTCGTCTCGCAGGTTCTCATGGATCCTGGTGGAGCCTCCTGCCATGGTCCTGCTTGACTGCCATTGCCAATACTGTTGTTGCTGTGCACCTGTCTGTCTGTCTGTCGCTCTCTCTCTCTCTCTCTCTCTCTCTCTCTCTCTCTCTCTCTCTCTCTCTCACCCCAACTGGTCGAGACAGACGACCACCCACCTAGAGCCGGAGGATCTGTCCTAGGTTTCTGCCTTTTAACAGGCAGTTTTTCCTTGCCCTTGTCGCCAAGTGCTTGCTCATGGTGGTACTGTTGGGTCTCTGTAATTAATGTTAAAGAGTTCGGTCTAGACCTGCTCTATTTGAAAAGTGTCCTGAGATAACTTCTGTTATGAATTGGCGCTATACAAATAAAATTGAATTGAATTGAATTGAATAAGTCCATTAAAACACTCCAATTAATTCAGAACGCTGCAGCACGAGTACTGACAGGAACTAGAAAAAGAGATCACATCTCTCCTGTACTAGCTTCTCTGCACTGGCTCCCTGTAAAATGTAGAATAGAATTTAAAATCCTCCTCCTCACCTATATATATCATGGTCAGGCCCCTTCATATCTTAAAGAGCTCATAGTACCCTATTACCCCTCTAGAACACCACGTTCTCTGAATGCTGGGCTACTTGTGGTTCCTATAGTCTCTAAAAGTAGAACAGGAGCCAGAGCCTTCAGTTACCAAGCTCCTCTCCTGTGGAGCCAGCTTCCAGTTGTGGTTCGGGAGGCAGACACCCTCTCCACATTTAAGAGTAGGCTTAAGACATTCCTCTTTGATAAAGCTTATAGTTAGGGCTGGATCAGGTGAGTCCTGAACCATCCCTTAGTTATGCTGCTATAGGCCTAGACTATCGGGGGATTTCCCATGGTGCACTGAGCTCCTCTCTTCCTCTCTCTTTCTGCACTCATTCATGTCCCATTAATGTATGTTACTAACTTCACTTCTTCCCCGGAGTTCTTGTGCTTTCTCGTCTTGCAGGTTCTTATCGATCCTGGTGGAGCCTCCTGCCATGGTCCTGCTAGATTGCCATTGCCAATACTGTTGTTGCTGTGCACCTGTCTGTCTGTCTCTTACTCTGTCTCTGTCTCTCTCTCTCTCTCTTTCACCCCAACTGGTCGAGGCAGAGGACCACCCACCGAGAGCCGAAGGACCTGTCCTAGGTTTCTGCCTTTTAACAGGCAGTTTTTCCTTGCCCTTGTCGCCAAGTGCTTGCTCATGGTGGTACTGTTGGGTCTCTGTAAATAATGTTTTAAAGAGTTCGGTCTAGACCTACTCTATTTGAAAAGTGTCCTGAGATAACTTCTGTTATGAATTGGCGCTATACAAATAAAATTGAATTGAATTGAATTGAAATCATTCCCACTTGACAGGGGAGACTGTGGCTCAGAGGAAGAGCAGGTCGCCCTCTAGTCAGAAGGTTGTTGGTTCGATCCCCGGCTCCTCCCCCCACATGTTGGAGTGTCCTTGAGAAAGATACCGAACCCCCAAATTGCTCCCAATGCTGTGTGTGAATGTGTATGAATGCGTTAGTTTCTGTTCAATGGATTTTGACATCACTGAGTGAATGTGTGTGAAAGGGTCAATGTGTAAAAGCACTTTGATTGGTCGGAAGACTAGAAAGGCGCTATACAAGTACAGTTCCATTTGCAATTTTGCACTATGCCACTGGTGAACTTGTGAACTTGTGCAATTTTCTGCACTCAGTAAAAGTAAAGATACCTCTACTAAACAAACCACCTCCTTTATGTGCATTGTGCACTGTGAAAACTTCTCAGGCATTATTTTAAACACCTTTTCACAGAATCTGAGGTAAGGTCCAGGGTTTTGGTCGCAATATGACAATGATCATTGATATCAACCATCAGAATCCAAAACCATTGATGATTTCACATTCCACAAGTATATTAAAGAGACCAATACGAAACACATGCCAGAGACTGTTTGCACTGAATGACCAGGCAGAGCATCAGCTCGTCCCAGGGGATTTCTTAAAGGTCATCCTCACTGTAGTACTGTGTGACAAAGTGTATAGCTTTAGGTCACACCTCTTTTCCTTGCAAAGGAGTTCAACTTTGGTAAACTTTGACCGACAAAGTCACAGCCTCAACCGATAGCAAAGAAGGACCGTGTCTGTTCGCCTCAGCCGGCGATGGTCCACTCTGGGCTTACTGTAGCTGTATGCTCTCACTGCTGAGATGATTCAGCACCACAATGTATACCTGACTAAACCTGATTCCACTCTGATACCAGCTTTTGTACGTACATACTAACTGACCTCAACGTGAACTGCAGCTTGTATGCCGAAGAGGTCGTTTACAGGCTTTGGGGGCTGGCCAGATTCATTCATGTAACAGAGTCATAAGGTGTTAACAGATGTCGAATTAATTATATCATTATCTCGGGAAAACAAAGTTTCGTTATCTCGAGATCTCGAGAAAATTATCCCGTTATCTCGGGAAAACAAATGAAATTAACTCGTTATCACAAGGAAATAAAATGTATGAATGCATGGCCCTTTAGGGCTTCCGTAGAAATGGATTCTGATAAAATAAAATTCAGGCCACTGTAGTCTCTCCTTTGTGCTTGGAAGAGGAGTGTGAAGCGAAGGAGTTGGGATCTACTACCACATACTTTACTAAATCCTGCAAACTGGACCTTAACAATTGAGATGATATATGGGGATCTAACATGTAGCTGTTAACAAACGGCTCATTCTAAGGTAATGAAAACACAATGATTCTTATTTTCAGGTGATTATACACTAATAAAAACATACCTATGAATATTATATTTCTGACAATAGATCCTCCTAAATGGTACACACTTTAAAGATAAACTGGGTGCTGTAAATAGCCAGAGCTATGTTGTGTTGCACTTATGGTGAAACAGCTGTTTCACAAAACAAAGTTGTGATGCATCTATGGTGTTACACCTTTGGTGCCCTTTTTATTTTTTTGGCCCCTGCCCCTCAACTAGCAAGAGTCCACCACTGGCAAGGACTCTTTGGTCTTACTGTTAGAGAATACAGTCAGGACAATCATCGCAGAAACTCTCCTTGAAAAAAATATTTAATTTGCAGAGTGTAAAAGACTTGTAAATGAAGGAAAGAAAAAGCACTTTTTTATCATCTTCCACCTTTGTGGATTTAAGAAGTCCATTAATCAAGCTATGACATTTACTTTGTTCTCATTAAACATTAACAAAAATAAACTCATTCTTTTTGTACTGCTGGTGCTCCCTAAAGGTCATTGTTTAAGACTCTGGTAGGTGTGAAGGAGCTCACAGTATTGGAACACACTTTAATGAACATGTTTCATGTACAGCCGTTCTTAGAGTGGAGTTAAAATAACAGCTCTTTCCACTCTGTGGGTTAGACATTGATTTCCACTACATGCAGGTGTTACTCACAATTTAGAAAAGTCACTATGTATGGAATAATATGGTGTGCAGTGGAGTATAACAGAAGGCTACATGGGAAATTAAGGCGGTTATTCTTATTGATTATAGTGAGGCTCAAGCTAAAGGAGTGTGGAAAATGAGATGTGGCACGTTTATTGTGACTACGACAACACCAGTGTTTCCATAGCATCTCAGAATAATCCTGTAATATTCTGACAATGTACGCCATACACAACCTGACCTCCACTTCAAAAATCACAAAACTACAAGAAATGTAGAGGGAATGTAAAAATAGGGCTCCAAGTGTGTGGCCATCCACCTGTATATTTAGTTTTTTTTTGTTATGTTTTTGCAAATTGGAAATGTGACAAAAGCCATTTCCTAATTGAAATTTCAGTCTGGACACAGTGGATTAGAAGGTAATTTCAAGCAGGACTACAACATTCACTACAGACATTTAGGAAGATCTCTTGGCAGAAATGGAATATGACATACATGTTTTCGTACTTATATTTCGTTGTACACCAAAAAAAATGAATGTGGCGAGTTGTGACATTTTATTTATGTTAATTTTTTATTTTCACTTTATTTAAAATACATGTATTTGTTAGGTTAAAATATTGTTTTCTAATAGTCCAAAGTCCATATAATTATGTCTCTCATTATCTGTACAAAATATTAATGTGTTGTTTAATAACAAAAAAATTAAGTTAAGTGAATTGGGATTGAAATATTGCTAACATCCAGAAGGTTGCAGTAATGCAACGCCAGATGCGCTTTGCCACTTAACGTCCAAGGACTTCATTTTGGCGGAAAACTACTCTTGGTCTTCCTTTTCTGCGTTGGACAAGGTAGGAGGATATTTATTTTCATTGATATATATTTTTGTTATATTTTTATATTGAGTATGATTGTATTTTATATTTGTGATATATCCAATATCACAAATAACATTTTTGGTGTGCTGTGACATTAGTTTTAGAGTACAGATGGATCTTGGACATTGTAGCTAGCTAACTTAAGGTTAACTGTTAGCTGCATATCGTTTGTCGTTTTATATCGTCTGCTTTTATCCCGCCAGTCAGAGAACACATTATCACCGTAAAACTAGACCAGTCGGTATGTAACTAACGTTATATAACTTTATATTCAGTCTATTGACATTTAGTTATGTTACTCTCTTCAGGTGATGCTGTTTACCGGCAGTTCAACAAGTCTGCACTGTGTTGGTGACCACAGAGAAAGCTCTGTTTTTATGTCTGTGTTTAGTTTAACGTTACTTTGAGATATCAGGCTTATTTTACAGGAAGGTAACCGATTCCTGTCTGTCGTTTCAGAACTATTAAAGGTACTGCTAATACAACCCAACTCTCTCTTTCACCCCAACTGGTCGAGGCAGACGACCACCCACCAAGAGGCGAAGGATCTGTCCTAGGTTTCTGCCTTTTAACAGGCAGTTTTTCCTTGCCCTTGTCGCCAAGTGCTTGCTAGTGGTGGTACTGTTGGGTCTCTGTAAATAATGTTTTAAAGAGTTCGGTCTAGACCTACTCTACTTGAAAAGTGTCCTGAGATAACTTCTGTTATGAATTGGCGCTATACAAATAAAATTGAATTGAATTGAATTGAATTATAGGATTCTGTTAAATTCAGACATGGCATTGAATTAAACACTGAAGGAATCTCCTCCTTAAATGCTGTAGGAAGTTTTGCCTAATGGCTTATAATCTAATAGTATGAATTCAAAAGTTATTAAATAATGGTCAGATAGGAAAGGATTATGTGGGAAGACTATTAAATGTTCAATATCAATTCTATATGAAAGAACAAGGTCAAGAGTGTGATTAAAACAATGAGTTGGTTTATTTACACTCTGACAGAAGCCAATTGAGTCTATTAATGATATAAATGCATTACTAAGGCTGTCATTGTCAACATCCACATGAATATTAAAATCACCCACAATAATTACTTTATCTGATTTAAGGACTAAACTTGATAAAAACTCTGAGAATTCATATATAAAATCAGAGTATGGTCCAGGAGCGCGGTACACTATAACAAATGGATTCATTTAGGCTAACATACTCCTCGTGGGACAACCAGGTCTCAGTAAGACAAAGTAAATCAATGTCATAATCTGATATTAATTCATTCACTAAAACAGCTTTAGAGGACAGAGACCTGATATTTAACAGCTCACATTTCATTCTCTTATTTTGTGCTACTGACGAGTTAGTTTTAATTTTTATTAGATTTTTATGTTTAACTCCTCTTGTTTTTATTTCTTTAAATAATTTAGGTGGTTGGGGGACAGACACAGTCTCTATGGGGTTTTGGGTGGGTGACTGTTCTAAAGAAAGCGCAGAGAAGTGTGTAAGACAGCAGCTCTGCTTCCTGGTCCTAACTCTGGACTGTCAGGTTTTAGAGATAAACTTCGCCATATTTCTAGATAAGAGAGCCGCTCCATCCAAAGTGGGATGGATGCTGTCTCTCCTAATCAGACCAGGTTTTCCCCAAAAAGGCTTCCAGTTATCAATGAAGCCCACATCGTTTTCTGGACACCACCTCGACAGCCAGCGGTGGAATGACGACATGCGGCTATACATGTCATCACTGGTCACATTGGGGAGGGGTCCAGAGAAAACTGCGGAGTCCGACATTGTTTTGGCATAGTTACAAACCGACTCCACATTAATTTTACTGACCTCCAATTGGCGTAAACGGGTGTCATTACCGCCGACGTGGATAACAATCTTACCATATTTACGATTATCTTTAGCCAGCAGTTTTAAATAGGATTCGATGTCGCCCGCTCTGGCCCCAGGGATACATTTAACTGTGGCCGCTGGCTTCGCTAACTTCACGTTTCTGACTATGGAGCTGCCAATAATCAGAGTTGTTTCCTCAGTGGGTGTGTCGCTGAGTGGGGAAAGTGTATTAGAAACATG